CAAACCTGTTACGCAGTTTGTCTGTCTGAGGTACACGAAACAATTTGGTGATCACCGGACTTTGCTACATCGCGAAGAGATTGGATTGAAATTCACCTATTTTTCTAACATGTTATCACATGTGGGCAAGTGGCAGTCCTTCGTTGAATTGAAACCCGCCTATCTCTGGATCGTCTTTCTATTAACCTCAGCGTTGAAATATGAATTCGTCGTTTTCTCTCTCAGCAATCGCGAGGTTGTTAAACAGCATACGTTTACTTCCATACAATAACACACATACAACACAGCCGTAGCTGACGTTTCGGCAGAATCACCTTTTTCAGAGCCCAGAAGGGTATAGTGATACGCAATTTACTATGTCAAACGCTTCAGTAACACATAAAGAAAGATGAGTATCTGAATAGCAGTCACATAGTCAACAGCTTCTCGAAAAAACCCATTCTCCACCATGTTTTTGTATCCTATCCGTGCCTAGTGGCTTGCCTTGTTTTGATTTTTGTTTTCCATCTAGGTGTTCTTTTATACGGATACACAAGTGTCTGCCCGTTTCGCCAATATATTCATCTCCGCAATTATTACAAGAGATCAGGTATATCGTACCTAAGCTCATGCAATCACCGTCCCTGCCATAGGGGCAAATTTCGCAATTCTGTGTTTTACATAGACGGTCGTATAGGCGATTACGAACTAATTGACGACGAAGGGAATCGGCTCTAGACCTCCCTTCTTAAGCATCGTTTCATAACTGTACTTATTTCATCACTAATAAAGGGCAACATAAACGTGATTTTCTTTTGGCCAAGTGTTCGGTTTTGGGGCGTCGCTCTTCTTTTAAACTTATCTCATTGGGTTATTATTTCGTAGCCATTGGAGATGGCCATTTGCCGAGCCAAGTCGCGCGATTCCTCCTTTAGTACACTCTTCGTGCACACGGAGGTCGCTGTTCGAAACATGTATCTCGCAATCGCCCTCTTTGTGTGTGAAGAATGGGAAGAGAGGAAATGAACAAGGATGTTTTTGTTAGTTGGTTTTCGGTACCACTTTGTCATGTGACCGCTACTTGATAAATTGACTGGAACGTTAAGTAATGGAAGCCAGTTCTATTCCGGTTTCTCCCGGGTGAACTTTATGTGCTCAGAGTGCTCATTCAATGACTCAAAGTATTTGTTCATCTCCTCGTGAGGACAGAAAATGACAAAACAGTCATCTATGTATCTGCAGTAGAGTAGCGGCCGGCGATCGATAATGGGGGCTTCCACTTTAGGCATGAACGCGATTGCAAGACTTGGTGCCACCCGTCGTCCCATTGTCAGCTACGGCTGTGTTGTATGCGTGTTACTGTATGGAAGTAAACGTATGCCGTTTAACAACCTCGCGATTGCTGAACAAGAAAACGACGCATTCATACTCCAATGCTAACGTTAATAGAAAGTCGATCCTAGGGACTGTTACAAGATGTACCAGCAAAATATCTCAGCAATATTGTGGTTATACTTCGCTTAATACCCCCTGCCTTAAAAGTTATAGCAGGCAGGAAATAAAAAGTAAATATTGTGAATTCAATACAGCCTCAGCTTAATTGAGTTCAATGCCGATATTGGCTCCACAGATCAATCAAGCCGGCAGGTGGTTGCTGATGGCATTAATCGATAGAACTAACTGAAAGCGAGTCCAAGAAGCCGTATGGTGTGGTGGTGAACGCGTTAGCCCCCAGAAATGATAATGTCGCGTTCGTTCCTCACCGCAGACATCTGCGGTCTGCAGTTTTACAAATATCTCAGCATTATAGAAGTTATATCTCAGCAGTATTGTGTTCGTTTATATTTCTGAGCTTACACGAGGCTGATATGATATATTTATTTGACTAACGTTTCGACACCTTCTACTTCACCAGAGCCGACAATCATTGTCGATGGTGCACAGTTGTTCCTCTTCTTGATGTGGCATCTTCGCCTCTCATCGAACCAGATCTTCCTCAGTCGAACATCTCGAATGAGCCATACTCGCTCGTATGAAGCACTTTTATACAGGACGGTTGCTGCTGATATAATTGTTTGTTAATAATAGTTTGTTTCTCAAAGGCTAACTCTATTGTTATTGCAGTGCTTACTCTGTAATTGGGCTTTTTACCTTTTTTGTTGGTGATCAATAAGGTTCTTATATCCTACATTTCCTCCATGTTTCCATGATAAGTTTCCATTTTTTCGGAGTCCTACTAGATTAACAATTATGATTTCTCGAAGCCTCGAGATCAATCAAGCCAAATTTTGCTCCAGGTCGCCACCACCACAAGCAGCTGCCGCCCTTGTGGATCAGAGGATTGCCACTATGCAAATCGTTTGAAACCAGGAAGCTGGTGGATCCTGGAAGTGGTTAACTCTTATTTGGCCTTCCTATTGGAAACACCGAACTCCTTCTCAGCTTAAGAAACCCTGCGGGGTGGATGAATCTTTCCGCAGTATATCACAGCCCGACACCCTGGAAAACCTCCCCAGCCACGATGGTGCGGTAAACAGTTGGGAAGATGGCAGGTCATAGAAAATAAGAATTAAAAATCCCAACCTGTTAATACTGCCGTCTTTTGCACATATTCTAACATGTTAACTGAATTTTCAAGCTCTTGAATTATCAGCATATTAGAGTTGTCGTCAATCCTCATGTAATCAAACATGCTGGTAATCTCACAACTGTCTCAAATGCTTGCTTTGTGCACACTCTACACCCTACAGAATCTTTCTTGTTTTTGATGTAAACCCTTCATCGTTATGACATTCTTGCATAGCGATCACGTAGATACTTGCGCTATTGCTTGATACTTACTTACTTGATACTTGAAAAGCCCGTTCTCACTGGTTGTGCGGGCCTTAGCATAGTCTTAATTTTTCGGAGATTTGCTTGTTAAGCTACTGCGGTTCCCTAGAATCCCGAGGTCAGCCTGGCCAAAGTCTGCCCAGGTCTTCACCAACACAGGCAGTCGCAGCCCTTGTGGATCAGAGTTAGATTTGCCACCATACGACTTTGATATCAGCGCAGTGGTGGATCTTGATATTGGTTTGCTCCTATCTGAGTTTCATGTTAGAAACGCATGTCTTCTTTTCAGCTTTGAAGGCTCCACTGGTGGAATAAATCCTTCCGCTGTACCTCGCAGCTTGACACTTAGAAATACTTCGCAATCAGAATGAGGCGACAAACCGTTAAGAGCTATTTAGAATACAAATGAATTAAGTGTATAAGTAAATCTATACATTCTAAGAATCCAAAAATGAGCTAAAGTACGAGTGCCTTGCTATCCTGCGTAACCTTTCGCCATACCTGAGGCTGATTTTGTAACCTGAGCCAAGCACATCCCTCAGCGGAGTAAAACTCTGTGGTCTCTTTTCCGGGGAGTAACGCTGTGGCAAAAAGATCGATAGAAATGTTGCCGATTTGCGCTCCCCAGATCAACCCCGCTGACGGGTGATTGCTGTGGCAAAAAGATCGATAGAAATAGATGAGAGACAGGCGAAACAAAGGACCCGCATGGTGTGGTGGTGAACGCGTTACTCCCCGGAAAGGATAATAGCGCGTTCGTTCCCCACCATAAACACCTGCGGTCCAGAGTTTTGCAAATATCTCAGCAACGTTGTGGTTGTATTTCGCTTAGTAACCTGCCATGAAAATTATAGAAGGCAGAAAACAAAACGTTAAACAGAAAGACTAGTATTATCAGGAAAGATGAAAGGCACGACTAGCCTAGCGCGGCATAGAGCTATCGACCACGCGCATGTTGCACGATTTCAATAACTAGTGCCCTTAACAGCATTCATCATGCTGTTATTTTCTATAAATCGTGATAATCCTATTGTAGCTGCTCTCCAAGGCAGCGCTCCGAGACGAGAATCTTGCTGGATTTCGGAACTGCTCCATGGACGGCGTTTGTTTCGTACAACAAATTGTGTATATTCTTCGGGTTGCCTGCAATCAACCACCAGAGGTTAGCCGAATATTCAAATATTCCTACTCTGGAACTGTGTCGACGATATAGTTCACTGCTTCGTTGCATGCTGCTGTTTAGTCACAGTGCACTTCATTTATTTTCGTCGATTTTAGAATCAAATGGTTGAAGGCATAAAAGTCTGTGAACTCATCAATCTTTCCCTAATTATCCTCCATTGCTTATGTCGTGACAGAGAGTTATTAGAAACGGTACGCAAAAGAAAACTGCTCTTGTTTTCAGCTGTTTTTTCACTTTTTTAGCTTAAAAGTACGAAAGTATCAAGTAATCGAGTACATTTTAGATAGTTTACTACCTCCTACATTTGGAAAATATGAAAGTAAGAGAATGTGATGTGCTGCTTCCTTTCTACGTTCTTCATGAGGCACATGAAGAAATCATTAAAAAGACCGCAATCTCTCTTATCGAGGCGACTGTTTGCCATCCCAAGGTAAGAACAACCGTAAAAACATGAAATATCAAGTCGTCAATGTAGTTTTGTTCTGAATTCGTAGAGCACAATGGGTAGTCTTTGTGAACAGAATCACTTAGACACTTGGATGGTCCGCCTTCACTGGTTGTGTTGGCTCCAGCATAATTTCCGTTTTTTCTGAGTTTTGCTGGTCTAGCTATTGTAGTTTCCTGCAGTCCCTAGGTCAGCCTGGCCAAAGTCTGCTTCAGATCGTCACCATCACAGGCAGTCGCAGCCCTTGTGGGTCAGAGGAGGATTTGAAAACATGTGACTTTGATACCAGGACGGTGGTAGATCCTGGTATTGGTTTACTCCTAGCTAGGCTTCCTGATGGAAACGCCGAACTCCTTCTCAGCTTGGTAGACCTCACGGAGAGGACGGATCCCTTCGCTGTACATCGCAACCCGACACGCAGAAACACATCCCAGCCACGATTAGGTGGTAATCCCATTAGGAGGGAACAGAATCAGTATGTTTAAAATACAATATCACAGAACCGTTTTGCTATCACCATTCATAGGCGTTTGGAAGTATTTCATTAGAAGTCAACTTTAAATCCCTATATACGTATCTCTTTGTTTATTCATCTTTAAAAATCTTTTCCTCTCAGATGGCAGCATTGTTTAGTCAAAACCATAGCCTGATAAATGGGTTACAACAGTTCGCCAGAAGTATGAACCCTGTCATAGGCATGTGCTCTTTTTCTACCTATTCAAATTTTCAAAATGTTGTAGTTAGTTGAAAAGTTCAGGAAATCTTGCCAAGGAGTCGTTGAAAACGATAATGCTTGGTGAAACAATGTCACGAAATCCTCCATCATCGTACATGAAAACGAAAGAAAAGTCAAACATTTTGGTAAAAATTTTTCTACATTAGTTAGTGTACATGAATTTTAATTCTATGCGTTTACCATGTGATTTAAGTCATCGTTGGAGGTATCAACGTCGTCTACAGCTCTACCGTCGGTTATGCCTAGCCCAGTGCAGAGTATAGAATTAGGCTGTGAATCTTCTATGTGGCCAGAATCAGTGGAAGGTGCCGGCGAGCAAATTCTCGAGGTCAGTTTAGCACAGCATCGTGTTATGGGCACGACTTGGTCCTAGATACCTAAGAATGAGTACAAAGGGAACCTATATGACTAGTAATGACGTATTGTTAACAGAACCTGAACGACCATCGAGAAAACGCGCACAGTTCATTTTCAATATGCCATCAAACAATTTGTGTAAGTTTATTTATATGTTCTTATGCGCTTATCTTGTTGAGCTGATGCGAGGTTGATATAAGCTGTCGTTATCGTTGTTGTTGTTGTTGTTGTTGTTGTTGTTGTTGTTGTTGTTGTTGTTGTTGTTGTTGTTGTTGTTGTCGTTGGCGTTATTTGTCGATGGCTGACTTTTGGCAATTTCGCCTTCTTCAGAGCCCTGTTGTCACGAGTGGGACTCACGAAGGGCCAAATCGCCAAATGTCAGCCATCTATAAACAAGAACAACAGAAACAACGACAACAACAACAACAACAACAACATTAACAACAATAACAACAACGACAACGACAACTCAAATCAACCTCGCGCACCAGCTCAACAAAATCAGTTCATAGGAACATATGAATAAACTTATCAACTATTTTTGCCTGGGTTTATAGAAAGTCGGTCTTTTGAGTTACTAAATTTATGTGATTATTGAAAAATAATACCGAAAGTGTGAAAAAATGAATCTTGAACCTTTTTTGCATGGTGTCTAAATGTCCTTCTTGATGTATGCAATACGGTTGTCTCAAATTTAAGATTTTTATGTTGGTTTCGAGTATTTATCAGATGTTGTGTCTTTTTAGGATTTCGCTGTTACTGATAATGATCCATTCGTGAACGTCTTCTGTCCATCAGTAATGCCGCAGAACTCGCCGCCATTCTCACGTATCTTCACAGTTCCCTTAATTTCTTTTCTAGGTCCATATTTTGACAACGATATCAAAACAGTGAATGTGTGTCTTTGCAGCAAATGTCAATCACTCTGACATGAATGACAAAAGATTGGGCACCTTCAGTGAGGATGCGATGCAAATCAACAGCCCTCAAGGCGCATGGGATTCCCCGAACTCGTTGCACTATTCGGAATGTGGTGGTTATCTACCACCTCCGCACATAACTCCTCACGATCCTCATCATTCCCATCAAATGGTTGGTGAAGGTATGTCATCTCAAATTGGAGCATATCCTCATTCGCATCAACCACCACCGCCATATTATGCCACAGAACTATGGCATCCAAACATATCAAATCAACATTCAAATATAGGAATGCATTCTATGCATAATTATTACGCACCTCAAAATCACTCATATCCATCGAATGTCGATTACGCCCAACGTTACGATGACTACCATCGCCACTACGGTCGATTTCACTAGAACTATTTACTTCTAATTTTGCGTTAATTTATGAAGCAGCGTCAATTTTGTGACGAAGTAAAGTTTTTTTGGAACACATACGGTAACGATGAACGTTATGCAAGGAATGTCTTTTGATGTAGGAAAGACCAAAGAATTAAACCTTCCAAAAGTCTGATCGTTATGTGTTATAGTTGTTGGTTAATTGCTCGACCGTTAGGATGAGCGTTATGGTGAATTTTCGTTGTCGATGCACTTGATTCTTGCAGTTGCACGTTGATATTGTTGAAACCAGTCACTAATTCTAGTTGGTAGCCATGGGTAGCCATTTTCATGAATTATTCATTGATTTTGTTTTCTTGTGGTAGTACCATGACTTACTGTGCTCAATCCTGAATGTTTGATTGCTCAACAAAAACTAGAACAAATAAGCAAATAATCTAAAAAAGTCCAACGAGGTAGTGTAATTGTGTATATTTATTCAATAAACTATTTAATATTGTTAAAGGAAACCAGCAGACACCCGCATGCGGTCAAATAAAAGTTCAACTGTCGTATTTACTAAGGGAGAAACAATAAAGAGAAAACGAACTCAGGAACAGACGAGGAGTAGGAGAGCTCGTAATCTATCTAGTAACGCATGAAAAACTTTAAAAAAAAAACATCCCGAAAGTAAGCTTCCATCGAAAACTACATTAATATATTCCTAAAATGTGCACACAGTTTTTCAGTGGTGATCTCAGTTCTTGTCGTTTTGGCGTTGACTCGTCCACACTTCCATAGTAATCCTCGGATACGATCGGTGTAGAGGAAGAAGGCGATGAATCTGGAGATGAAAAGCCACCAAAGTAATTCTACTAAAAAAATGAATTGTTTTTTTCATTTTGCCTGAAGAAGACTTCTTGTGTACGTCATCGTAATAGCCTCGCTTCACTCGGTGCCATTGAATATCGGGCTCAAGGTCGATGGAGTCAAAGTCGACGTCCCGTTGACGACGAATTACAGGATCGATCTGCGGAAGTAGGGAATTCAAAAGAGGTTAAAGATGTGGAACTGGAAGAGGTTCATTTACTCTTCCAGGTGAAACTACTGCAGTGCTTTCAGAATCCTCACTTCTAAGACAACATTAACAAGTAACTGCAGTATTGGAAGTATGAACCACCTCTATCTTATTTCATTGCACTTATATCACCTACTTTTTTCTGAAACAGCTTTTCAATTGCTGAAGTCGGAAAAGAAATAGGAGGCATTATGATTGAAGGCACAGTTGGAAAGGCTAGAGGTGGTGCCGACGGTGGAGTTGGATGTATGAATGGAGCCGGAGGTAATGGTGTCAGACTAGCCACCAGATCATTGCGAATCTCCAACTGCTGTGGTTCTGAAGTTTATTTTATAAAATAGCTTTTTTCACTAACAATATGAAGAGTTGAAAGCAGGGTGTAACTCCTGAGCCAGATTTAACCTCACTTATGATCTGACCATAAAATTCAGAGTCACTTCGGATGTGGTAATTTTTCTGTGAGCTCTTTTTAAAATCCGGATTATTTTTCATATCTCTTTAATTCGTGCAAGGTATCAACCGATATCATCTCACCAACAACAGCAAAATAAGAGACCTAGTTTGCACGACTCCTAAAGTGATTTCGGGAAGGCAGTGTTAGAAGCCAGATGAGGTGCTAAAACTTATATTAAATGTGACGATGATCTTCACTTACAATGCATGCAGATAAAAAGCCTATATTAAAAACCTCATGATATAAGCTGCGAAAATAAAGATTGTCGTAACGCATTGACCGATACGAGCACATAGCGTCATCAAACGCCGTTTGCGATTATGTAAAACATCTCCACCATAACTTGAGTTGTTAAAGAGCCGATGGAGGGCGTACTTTCATCAATTGAAGCATGAAAGTGAGCTACAAATCTTTTCAACAAACAAATGAGTTGGAAGTTCACATTTAGGAAGAAGATTTGGGGTAGATTACTCCAGATGCCTAATTCTACACGTCGAGCATGAGAGCTTTCGGATGGAGAACATTAACTGCCACGTTTGAATCCTTTAATCGTCAAATGACTCCAGTAGGTTCCAACAAACACTGCTTCTATATAATTGGTTTATATTTGCAACGAAAAAGTCGTCCACGAAATGAGTACAGAAAATGGGCGGGTATTCAACACAGGTCAACGTGGAGGTCTACATGAGACTGGCAACAGTTAAGTGATTTTAAAGTTACAGAGGAGCTGTAAAGGACGTTCTTAACGTCAGAACACAAACAGTAGTGGCTAAAAGTGTAGAGAATGAGGAGCGCAACTGTCATGCCCGGAGGAGTTTTACGTAATCCAAAACCAAAGTGTTTATTCTCTGACACTCATAAATAACAGGCACCACATCTAAACTAATCTACTGCAGAAGTTCACCTTTGGCATGTACTTCCATTTCTTTAGAAGTTGTGAAAACTTTGTTTATCACCAAGTCTGTGTGCTACCAGTCGTTTAGATGATAGTGGATTCATCTGCAATAGAACTTGCGGCATGTTGGACGAGGAACAGCAGTGTAAGTAAGCAGACCTAAGAAAAAGGCTCTTTGCAGTGGATCATAGCAACACGTTTCCAAAACTTATTGGTATATTGCGATAGTACAGAAGATCCGCTGTAAATTGAAGCCGTGAAAACATTGTTCACGAAAAACAGATTTTCTGCTGTCAGTTTGCTTACGCTTGACGAATGAATACTTCCGAATGCTACAATAATATGAGTCTGGGTTGAGAACTCAACAAAAAATGAGCTCAACACGTAACATAGAAGAAGAGCGACTTGAGGGACTTGCAAAAGTATTGGGGACGTAGTTGCTGTCTTTTTTGAATCTGCAGTTCTTCTTGCCCCATGAGCGCCTAAAAAACTGTGTGAGCAGAATGAATGTACATCTAGACTTATCGAAAGAACTATTTAGAGGGTGAAGCTAGAAACGCCCTATATCACGCAACTGACAACCGGACCTCGTGGGGAACTCATGTGGACTAGAGCAATGTAGGATAACTGAGTAGTGAGCGTGACAACAACTTTAAGAACCAGTCGAATTCCGCAGAACATAAAGCGCACAAAAGCAACACAGGAATCTTCATTTCTTCATCAAGACACTTAAAATGAAAAATAGTGCTGCACTCCTAAAACGACCAGAGCTATCCCTCTAGGTAACTTCTCGTGTGACTAAGAAGGGTATACACTTTATCTGCTCATTTTCGTATCATTCAACTATCAGCCAATGGTGATCAAATCGTAAAGGTAGTCCTGGTCGTTATGTTACTGAAGTTGAAACATTCGTAAAATCCTGGAAAACTTTTGGGAATCATTTTATTTTTGAGTTCGTACTTCTTTAAAGTAGATGGTTTAGTTGCACGTATATTAGGAAAAGTAAAGCAAGATTTAGGTACATGCGTACAGAGAAAAATAATAAGATTAACCTTGTTGTGGCTGACTGCTCCATGTCTTCGATCCCAGTGCCTTCGACCGCCCATGAGATGATTCCGTGCCATACCATGCGTCATCCATAATAACATTCGAAAAAAAGCCATTGAAAACGTAGAAAAAAAAATTTCGAAAGAATTTCAAAGAATATTTTAAATAACACTATTTACATCATGTTGTTCATGTTCTGCTTCACGCGCAGGCATCGATCTGGGCGGGTCATCATTCTTGCTCGCAGATTTCGATTCAATCGTTGTGATAAATCTTAACCAATAACAAATCGCGTTTAAGATAATTGAAGGTAAAAACTATATGGACAACATTCAAGATTAGAAAAAGAGAAGCTGATACATCCACTTACTTGTCAATTAGTTGGAATCCATTAGAAAAGAGTTTGCATTCACCGTCGCTCATACCTTGCTCCTTGCATATAGAATCAATTGCTTCGGGATTGATAAAACAATTGAAATTATTTTTTTGACTTACTATTTACTGCTTACTCTATTTTAACGGCAGGGTAAATTGCGGAATATAACTTCAGTGATGCTGAGATATTTGCAAAATTCCGGACCGCAGGTGTCTGCGGTGTGGAACGAACGCACTATTGTCCTTTCCGAGGATTAACACGTTCACCACCACACCATGTGGGTCCTTCGCTTTGCCTGCTGATGGCGCCGATCAATAGAACTAGCTGAGAAGCTACACCTGCGGTCCGGACTTTTGCAAATATCTCAGGAGTCCCGCACGTAACATCACGGCTCTGAGGAAGACGAAGTCGCCGAAACGTCAGCCATCGATCAATAACATCAAAAACAACGACAACGACAACGACTACGAAGATCTGTACCAACCTCGAGTCAGCTTAAGAAGATCAGTTTATAAGATCACATAAATAAATATATCAACTATCTATGCCGAGGTTTATAGAAAGTCGGTCTTTCGAGTTATCTCAGGATCATTGAAATTATTTTATGTAACAGGGAAGATTTTAATGTAGAACTACAAGGATGCTGAGACATGTGCAAAACTCAGAACTTCAGGTGAGCGTCGAACAAGCGAGTATGCTCACAGGGAACTCACGGCAAACCACCACACCAATAGAGGTCCTTGCTTTGCCTTTCTCTCAGTTAATTTCCCACCCTAATGGTGCCATCAGCAATCACCTCTCAGCGGAAATGATCTGTGGAGCACAAATCAGCAAATCGGAGCACTGAACCCAGTTTAGCGAACGCTGTAGTGGAAATCACAATGGCCTAACTGGAAGGGAACGCGGCTGAGAAAAATGCATGCAAAGCAAGAGATTGGGATGGTGTGGTGGATAGCATGTGAGCCCCTAGTAAGGGTAATCGTAAGTCCGACTCCCAGATGAGGTCCCGAGTTTTGCTCATATCTTAACATCGTTGTGACTCTATTTCACATCATACCCTGCTATAAAAAAATAGGCAATGAACGAAATCAAGATATTGTGATGCTAAAGTAACTTTTTAGTTCCACGAAACAGATTTTCAATATATTAGCTCACAATTATTCACTTAGGGAACAGAGTGGCCCTTCTTCAGCAATCAAGAAGAACTGCTTGTGTCACACATGACTTTCATCTTCCTGCTAATTTCCTGGTTAGATGAGATTTTCATTCCCTGCTGTCCCAAATTGGGGCGTGTGGCGCAGTGGTTGGAGGCGCCACTGCGGCACATATGTGGAATCGAACCAAGCGCACATGGCCCACCAGGTGCCAGATTTGTCTGGGAGTATAGCAGCACTGGCTCAATACATCGGTACGCCACCGCGAGTCATCGAAAAGGCCAGATATGCAGATATTCAATCACCTCCAACGATACTTATTGAAGTCGAGTGCATGGCGCATCCCTCAGGGAATGATCAACGCCGAGGGCTTTTTAGAGCATTTTTTTGCCAAAAACTCTAAAAGTTCCTGGAACACCAAAAGCTTTTGGAGCCTTTAGTGTCGCAAAAACTATGCAAAACTTCCACCCGTCACCACTTGCCAGATAATAATAGTGTTCTCCCTAGGACGACAGTGATTCCTGGCACTGGTTTGCTCTTTAGCTGAACTATTGCCCTTCGCTCAGGCGTATGACACAGTGCCGAAATGATAAGAAGCTAAATGATTGAAGAGAGAAAGTAGTATTATAAGGTGCACTTTTCACAGTCTTCTTCTAAGTGACTAGTCTGATTTAGTCTCATTTCCCTCCAGGAGTTAGTTTGATTCGTATTCCATTCTTGGATATCATAACAATGAAATCCGAAAGAAGCCAACCAACCTGCTGATGGTTTGCCGTAATTTCCTGTCGGACAACACTTGCGCGGCCAGTTGAATATTACCGAATGTTGGGTCTTTCTTGAAGTTTTCCGCAGAGCAAGAAATAAATTGGCAGATTCTGTGAAAACCTTCAGATAGTAAAAACGATCTCAGAATTTCAAGCCACATTCAAATGACATGCTAAACTGGTTTGCTCCATAAGAAATCCATTGCACTAGATGCAGTTGCATTTAGGGGATCAATTGGGTAGCAATAGAATACGCAGCATTGAACTTAATCTTCAAACCACTGTTTTCACACTTTTACTGGAGATTCTAGTAGTGTGACTGCATGTTTAAATTAGTCCTTCAAAGCACACGAATTTAGTCTCCGCGGCGATGATCTGAGATTCTAGAAATAAGTGGATACCATTGTAGAAACCTTATATGAAAGAGTTTTGTACAAAAAACATTTTTTCTATGGAAAAAAACCAAGTATCCTATCTTAATCTTGCTTAATTTTGGTACTCTTTGGAATAGTTTGTAAGCGTTTTCGGACATTACTTTAGTAGAATGTTGGCACATACAATGAATATGCTTAATAGAGGGTTCATTCCATTACATGACCTCTAAAATCACCGTCGCTAGGAAATGATATTAAGAGTTCTTTTTTCAAAGACCTGTCTTCGACGGTGGCCTTCTGACGGATTTCTCAAGATCGCCATCCCACCCATTGAGAGAACAGAATGTACCTCATAGCAAGCATGAAAACTTCGTTATTAATAGGTTAAAAATAAGTTTATATAGAAACCTGTTGCTTCCTTTGCAAAGTGGGATGTTGTCAAATGGATTTGCTGAACGTGAGCCAAGAATAATAGAATCTCGTAAGTCGTCTGTTGATGGTATCGGCTTAAACAATATTAAATGTTGTAATAAATAATAGCCTATTATGAAATTCAATGAGGAACTGTTCGCATGAAGCCAATATCGCTGATTGGATCCCATTCTTGGAACTACTAAGCCACCATCGCAGTAGGTCATGCTAATGCGAATAAATCCATCTCGATTGGGCCTAGTATTTGAAGCGCGAACAAAATCAACAGAGAGAGAGAGGGTTGGTGGCTATAGGATTCCGACGTCATTACTGACCCTGCTAGTGAGTTCTGTTAATCCCGTTCTACTTTGTTTTCAATTTTGTTCACAAAGTGCAATTACGTACGTGTTTCACAAACACTTCGCTTCCAAATTTTTTAAATCTTTGTGCAAATGTAATCTATGAAAAAATTCTCAAGAGATTAACTGAGTGATATGATTTTACGGAAAAACTGCAATGCCTGTATTAATTACAAAAACCATCCAGCAAAATGTTCTCAAAAGGAAATCGCAATTTGGTGCTACGCTCAGACTGAAGTTATCACGACGTATAGTGGAGTGTGTCGTATTGTGCGTCTACAACACCCAAATCTCAGTCACTGAACTTTATTCCACACTGTCGTTTCGAAGGAATCTGAGAGCACAAAGAATGACGTTTGCCGACTCAGAAGTTATCAGTGGTAATGAGATTTTTAAGGGGAGACGTTATCAGCGGTGAGGAGATTGATAACATCTCCTAGATATCAGCGTAGTTTTCGTCATTCATCATCGATCTATTGCGAAATCTGTGCTGTCACACGAGATCTCGTATCGCCGAATTATCCTGAACTTTCGTACTACACAACGAACAATGACCAGCGCCATTAACGTCTAACTTCAGCATTTAAAAGCGATTATCCCGAAATATATGTGCTTAGCGATATTTCAAGGGAGCGGTCTCAATTCAGTTCATTTTTCTGAATTAAACTCCGGATTTTTTAGAGCATAGATGACTACATAGGGCGCACATATTACAGTAGTTAGAAGTGGTGTGCAATGCATACATGATTCCGTATCTAAAGAGTAAAGCAAGTCCTCTCGTCTCTTCAGGGGTCGAAAAATTGATACCAGACATATCTGGGGGATAGCAGAAGTGACTTCATCGACCGGTGGGCAAACATAAAGCATTGTCTAGACCACATATGGACTCAACCACCTCTAGCGAAGTTTAATGAAGTCGAAAGCATGACGCATTCTTTAGATGAAGATCGAGGCCGACGGCTTCTTGCTTTCTTAGATGACTACTGATAAAGAAACACGTGACTGATTTACTAGTTAGTCGAAGAACAAAAGAATCTAGTCTTGTTATACTAGCAACAAAAATCTTATTCTGTCAAAAACAATAATCCGCAAGAGAGAACATTGCGATTTAAAGTGGTGTACATATGAAGAAAAAATTCAGGGTCACAGACACAAACAAAAGTGCAGTTGACAGCGAACTAATGCCATAGTTTAGCATTAGGTTCGATGGCATCGTACTATTACATGCTAAGAATCACTCCAACCACAACTAAGAGAAACTCTTACCACTGTTCAAAAACGAAACGACAATGTTCGTGATAAGTTGGAAGAAAAAATTTCTCTACGGAAGAACATGAAGATGTTAATAATTATGGAACTGGAAAGCACATTCTGTAGATCTAAGTATAAGACGCGCTTGAGCAAAAGAAAATAACATGGATGAATTACAACACAGCGGGAGAATACTAGATACAGAAGTTGCCTGGAACAGGATGTTCAACAGTGCAAGAAAAGTGATACTAAAAACAATTAAGGGAGGAAACACTCTAGCAACTTTTATTGCATTTATATCAAAATGGGAGAGTGTTATTACAAGATTTTCTGTTCTTGGCCGCTAACTCATTTCCCCAAATTTTCTCCTGAGAATAGCAACTCTTTTTCCAAATAAAGTTCTTAGGCAGATACTTTAGAAAAACCAATCCAAGTTTTGCCGTGATTAATCAGTTTTAAAGAAGACTATGCCGATCATCTTCTGCTTCATGACGGGATTAAATCAATAACATATTGGTTGTCTTTGCAGCGCTTCCGCACCATCGCACTCTCGCCAGGTCCCAACATCCCTGCTTGAAAAGGAAACTCTCATAGACTTCTTTATCAGCAGAATCGTGCTATAACTAAACTAAAGATCTCGACGGATAACTTTATTCCTGTTAGGATTCACAGGACAAACAGCCAAGAAAAATGAGTAGAACGACCTCCAAGAGGATAGGAGTGTTCTTGGAAAAAATTACTACATTTTTGTAGCCTGCATCATGCAGCTATGTTCGCAGGGAAGGAAAATTTACAGAATGTAGTAGAATATTCGCAGATATGTTCATGAACAAATGAGATAAACTTTAAGAACGCTACTATCGGGATGGAACGAATGAGCGGAAGGCGTGCTACGGCTAGCACAAATCCTGAATTATACTTACGTTGACAACATATCGCCCATGCAAGAGTTGGTGCAAGAAGAAGGTCTCGAAAAAAATTGCATTCAGAGAAAGAATTGCGGCATTCTCTGCTCAAGTCTAAAATGAAGACGAGTGAGCTAGAGCTCCCCACCATGGAAACATGAAACTTTGGTGTTTATCATGAAGGTATCGTGAAGTATTCAGATTATTTTCGTAGAAGTATTGCAACAGCTAACTACAAACTGCAGATGGTTGCACAATTTTCATTTAAGGCGACCGAATCGTTCGCGCTGTACAGTGATTGACTATTTGCAGCGTTATTCTTCCACCGAGTCAGTTCTTTTAGTCTTCGAAAACCTTAATAGGAATAAAAAAAGTATGAAAAAAAGAAACCGACCTGCTTTTTAAACATTTCATCGTACTGCAGTGGTTGTGAAGTGTCGAATATCGGTCGAACTAATGAGAGGGCTTTCGAAATCAGGTCATCAATGGATACTGAATAACATTAGCAGTAGAAATTGTTATATTACAAACTAATAAAGTTTTTCTTATCCTGTTTCGCTACACTTACGTTGACGTTTCTCTCTGTGTGCTTCGATTACGGTAATCACCGCCAGCGATACTAACAAATGCCATTGATACATTTACTGCAACCATATGTCGAAAAATAAAAGTATGCGCTAGAATGGAGTTTATGAAAAAGCGATTGCTAAGTAGAATGTGGAATCCATTCGAAAAGGGTCTGGAGATGCAGAGTTTCCAATATATACATCAGATTTCTCCAAGTAGATTTCCTTTCTTCATTTGGACTATAAGTTATCGGTGTAAAGGGTGTATTGGTACGAAATGCCGTGCACTGCACACATAATCGCTTACTCGACCCTGCCCATGTGGACAGAATCATGCACCACAACCCCACCGATGTGATCAGATTGGTACCAGATTCTCTGAGAGAGCTCTCTCCAACGCAAAAATCGTTAAACAGTTGTGGTGAAGACCTTATAACTCTCCTAGAGTTGTCTAAGAAGAGCGAAATCGACCAACACGTGATGACATTCGTGGAAAAAACAAAACCCTCACACGACAAACAAACCAATAAGCAAATCTGAAGACATTCGTTGAACGACTTTGAGAGAACTAACGGAATACAACTAACCATACAAGTAAATGAAAAACTTACTCATAGAATTGGACTTCAAAGGAATAATTATCGAACGACTAGTAATCAAAATGAATTGTACGATTGAATGACTTATGTTCAAGAAGCACAGAATAACGAAAAATGGTGATATTAAGACACGATGCCTTAGAATCGCAATGAGCCAGTTAGACTTTTTAGCCGACATTCAGTCATTCACAGGTGTTTTTTGTAAGCCGACGATAGCATTACGTGAATTACACTGGATTTCCTCTGCGCTCGGTTCTCAATGACGAACGTCTTTATCACTGCCATCTATTCTGTGGTAATTTCGAAATTCACATCGTTTGATTCTCCGAATAATCGTTATAGATGTCTCTAAGTAGAAATTCGTATAAATCTTACAAAAAAATCTAATAAATGAATAAATAAATGCCATAGAGATGTTATGGCCGACCGACCGACATATTACAGTGTCCAGCTATTGAACGTCCCAATCCAGTAGTTCTAGTGGAAATAATCGGACATAACTAGATTGTCCGAAAGATTGAACACATGAACAATTGCCACAGTGAGAATTATTAGCTTCCCTGCGCTTTCGATTCGATATTCGATATCCATTAAATTTCTCATTGTCGTCAATATCGCTATTGTCATCACTATCGCCATCGACATCATTTCTGATAACAGATAACCCTAAGCGGTGTGTCCTTGTAAGAATTCTTGGTCTAAAATCATTAGAAAATTGGTGTTGCAAAAAACTTCTTCTTCTCTCCAATGCTTCTACTTCCTGTGCTGCCTAGTGAAGAATGCTCTTTGTATTTGTATATACATGAATCCAGTGAAAGTATGAAGAGACGCAACAACTAAAATAGAACAGGTTCTGCATGGTAATCCAGCGAAGGCGATGCATGCCGTAATCATCATTTTGCGTACTTCTCACTATATTTGTTAAAAGACCAGACAAACACTACCTTTTTCCCAGCAAAAACACTTTAACAATTACTGTATATGCAGGGAATAGCACAGACGTATGCAGGTATGCATCTTTATTCAGCGAAATTTGTAAAAATGATCATGAATCGTTTTTAATGCGATAATAAAACAATGATAAAACGTACAACATCTCGAAGATGTTGAAGAAAATTCAAAGAAATAGGGACGACGATAAGTGCGAAATGACGCGAAGCGGATCGTCAATGAGAGTGAAAATTGGCAGCAGTGAGAAGAGCGCGGAGTGTGTGAAAGATCGGAGGTGGACGGAAAAAGGTGCGTCGAACGACGGCGACGAACGGATGGGTGAGCTGAGTGTAACGGAGAAGTTGAACGAACGACTAATGACGAGAAAGCTCAACTTATTACGGTATAACATCGGCCAGTATCTATTGCTCAGCATGTGCATGTGAACTGAATTTCATACACGTAGCAGTGAATAACGTGTGAGTTATTTGCAGTATTCAATGGAGAATTAGAAGGTGGTCAATGTCAGCGTATCAGAGGGAAAAGCAACATATCCAGCAAGATTCAAAATAGGTAGAACTTTTCCACATAGATTCCCGCAAAAGGAACTCCTTAGTGAGCACTATTTTACAGCAGTCTGATGACTTTAAAGAAATGTCTAAAGAAATGATGAAGAAGGAGGTTATGATTATGATGATAATGATGAATACAGAGAAATACGACTCTGGTCGTTATTAGAAATCCCTATGAAAAAACAAGGTAGACTAGCTGATGCTTTTTGTCTTAGACGGACTATTTCTGTGAATACATAAGAAGCATCAGGAATGCATAGGAGAAGAGAAAATATTATTGTTGCATTTATGTCGACTACATGCACCAGTCAAAGTAGTAGGTTCCAACGTCGTCACACAGTACAGGATTACAGCACCGGATGACGAACGGAATCGTACCGGATACGGATTCCGAATTCCTGCCGTGAACTTCGAAGCGTACTGAAAATAACACAATAAATGCAAGCATCTACTAATTCTGCAAGGAAAAAATCCAATTACTTAAGCGATTTTGTCCCAGAGATCTTAAAACACTAACAAAAGAGCATTCTTTGATAAGTCTCCTCACACTTAACCTTGAGCAGGTGACCAACTTTGAATGCTAAATAACTTATTTAGTTCCATTTAGGATTTCAAAATTACCATATTTCCCTTGGCATTTCAAAATCATTAATTTCAAGACGTTTTTGACACACATGTGAATAAAAAAGATCGAGTCCTTGCACTTGTTATGCCGGAGTTTTTTGACTCCTAAGTCCCTACTCCAATTTACCGAAAAACTACTCGATCAGAAAACCTCATTGTTCTATCGCTAAAAGGCGCCCGATACCGTAGGTTTACAAGAGTACTGAAAGGCTGCTGAGATTCTGAGGTCATTCTGGGCTACTAAATCTGGAAAAAGTATAGCCACTACTTGTACCCAAATGATATTCACAGTACTTTGAAAACCTTTGATTCAAGACTACACGTGCAAGGTAAGAGAACCAAGTACGGTTTGACTAGACTAGACTAGCTAGGGTGAGAAGACACCGCCCATCAAATGTAGTTTGTGATATCTAAAAGGAACTGTTTCTGAGAATATGCGATTGAAGAAGAGCTTGCGGATTTATTGTCCTAGACAAAACGAGCGTGACCATGAATGTCGATTCGTATAAACAACTAATGACCTGAATCGGTCGTTTACGGTTGAAAAGATTTGGAACAACATCGGCTTCGACAACCGCTTTCGATTTTTTTCAATTCAGTTCCATTTGCTTGACATTAAAGCAAGAAGATGATAAGATGAACGTATTTTAATTATCGACAAAATGGTTTGGAGGAATGATGATACTTTTTACATTCCTACGTGATACATTTCATCAACGTCAACTTCAAAATCAAGATTGGCTCCAACAGAACACCTGAGTAATTTCAGATCGGAGCCTACCAAAGTTGAGATTGGATTGGGGGAAGGAAAGAGGATATCTAGATCCATTATAATCACCAAATCCATCGATAACAGCTTACAATTCTAGTATTCCTCCTATCAATACTGGACGCGCTAATCTCTCAGTGAACGGCACCATAGAAAATTTGACCAGATTAGCGATGGTGCCCCATTCGCAAAGATGTCAAAAAATAGTTTGGCCTCACCAAATGTGACGCGTCTTATTTATGATGGTGTGAGAGGGGTCATTGAAAGGATTTTTAGGATTCTTTTCTGGAATTCTGGAATGAAGCGTGAGATTTCTTTTGTTCCTGGGGCGATCGAAACCCACTAGAGATGACGATGAAAAGTGGAGATTTCATTGGCGTCCGCTAAGTACTCCTGGCGATCAATAGGAAAAGATATGATACAGGCGATACAAAAGCATGTTAACAATACGGATTTGAATTTTTAAATGAAACGATAGTAATAATAATAATAATAATAATAATAATAATAACAATGGAAATCGACCTTCTTGTAATAAAATATCTACAACTATTCATGAATTTGAACCAAATTTTAAAAAGACAAACAGTATTATTCAGAAGTAGTGCGTCAGATCTCCTTTAATGCTTAAGTTTTGTTTAAAAAATCGCCAAGTATAGCCAAGGAAAAAGCGAAGAATTAAGAAATATTAACAGTGACGTCGTCGTAAAGTGAAGGTTCCAGAGAGCATCCGTTCTCATCTATCATTGGATATGGCTTGAAACCTGGCTCATCCGTGCTAATTGTACCTGAAAGGGTTTCTTAAAAAAATGACATGTTTTTTTAATACTGCAAAAAGTAAAAACTTGCAGTTAATAACAGAAAGACAGTAACCGTCTTGAGGTTCACATCTGATACTGTAGTACAACACAACATCCAGAACGGTTCCTGAATATGAGCGATAAAAAGCCTACACTCCTCAGAAATAAACAAAAATTCAACTGAATTAACGTAACACATAAACTGTGTTTACAAATATTGTTTATTTTTCTATTTATATGATTTAACTTCAAATATTGCGTGGATCCTAGCGCTTCTTCCGTTCGATTTGTTATTAGCTCTCATCCGCCATCCACGAGTGTCATCGTATTTGTTTGACGCTTGGTTGTCATTTTCGGAATTTGTCTTCTTCATAAATGCTATTGTCTCTGGTAGAGCGCGATTTCCCCTTGAATAACTTCAAAGCTGTGTTAGACCGTTCAAAGGCCTTCAGCTGCAAAGACATTCGCCAGTCTTTCTGAATTGGAGGGAAACTTTTCCTTGACACACTCGGTCGGTCCAACTCGAAAAGTATGGAGCCTTGGCTGCGGGGTGAGGGCGAAACGTTGAACATGTTTCACTTGCGCAGCATCTCTAACTACTTCACAGGACAAGGTAAAATCATTTATGAATAGTCTTAACCTTTTTATTTGCTGCCTACTTTATTTTTTAATGGCAGGGTATCATGTGAAATACAGCTAAGGTGATGTTGAGATATTTGCAAAACTCCGGACAGCAGGTGTCTGCGCTGGTGAACGAACGTGCTATTGTCCTTTCCGGGGAGTAACGCCTTCACTACAAGACCATGCGGGCCCTTCGTTTCGCCTGTCTCTCAGCTAGTTCTATTGATCTTTTGCCATCAGCAATCATCCTTCAGCGGGACTGATCTAGGAAGCCAAAATCGGCAACGAGCCTAGTTAAGCTGAGGCTGGAGTCGAAATCACAATCTTAACCTCTTTATTTGCTGCCTACTTTATTTTTTAATGGCAGGGTTTCATGCGAAATACAACTGAGATGATGCTCCTGTCCGGAGTTTTGCAAATATCTCAGCATCATCTTATTTATGAATAGTTGTAGACATTAAATGAACGCATTAAATAAACGCCTCGTACATCTAAATGTCTTTACATTTCAAGAGAAAAATGAATATTTAGCAAAATACCAACAACGATGACCTGTAACACGTTCTCCTTCAGGGCCATCTTTGTGCACAGAGAATTCGCATTTTGCCGATAGTTTTTTAGAGTATTTAGTATCGATCATTGCAGAAATTTGAGCATTTGAATCGACACGGTCATAGAAGATCGAAACAATGAAGAACGTTGCTAACACGAGAAGCATGGCGCCAACCAGGATTCAATTTCTGATAATAACGCATAGTTCGAGAGAGAACACACTCATCATTATGTATTCTTTCTTGATAAGCTTGCACGAGGTTGATAAATATATTTATTTTCGGCTAACGTTTCGACGTCTTCGTCTTCCTCAGAGCCGATGATCCGAGTCGATCAACCTCGTGCAAGCTTATCAAGAAAGAATACATATTGATTAGTCACACCGAGGTTTAGAGAAAGTCGGTTTCGAAATATTAACACTCATCATTATTTAAAGCATTTATTCAGTTATAAATAGAGATTAAACTTCGAGAGCTACTCGATGAGCCAGATGAGCTTCACTGCTTAGCAGCCACAACTTCCTTCCTTCCACATAAGCAAAATACTAAAGGTGTGCTGTTCTGATCTGGTTCTCAGCGTGCAAGAGAGGCAAACAACTGTAGTCAATGTCAAAATTTGCGAAAAAAAAATCACGAAAAGATACTGCTAGGGAAGGATTAATAGCTATATAGAGATGGATTTCTCAATTTATAGGTGCGCGTGATCATCAACGAAGAGAACACGAAACTAAATAGTAGAGTGAAGCCGGCACGAAGTGATAAGCGCCTACAACACGCAGTGCACCATATCCAGACACGGGATGGTGTCAAGAAAAAGAAAGTTCGTGAAAAAATTGTCCTACGGAGAGATATACGAGACGTTATCAAAAGATACCGCAACTAGTCTACGCAATGAGGTCACACGCATCTCCACGAATTAAAGTGGCTTACCATCAAGCACATAACTTCTGAAGAATAATATGTAATCAACTCGTTTTATTTTTCAGCAATCGTAGTTGTTGTTTATGTTTTATGTTTGCAAATGTTGTTCTTGTAAGGAGGTAAACGTGCGCTGAATATGAATTTAGTTACACACAAAATAAGAATTCAGGTAGTCGGCGTCGAGGAATGGTATGCGGAATGCACCATGTGAACAACTTTGCTGAGTAACGAAGAGACGATTGAGTACATATCTTGCTGATACAACGAGTTCCAATGGTCTGTCGATGTACTTCTACTTTTAGGGTATTTTGTTGTTGCAGATACGCTGAGTATGGATTCGCGAGCCTTCAACGAATGAAGAGCTTGGCAAGCCCGAGGCATACTATCGAATCAATGATCATATGTCTACTATATGACAACTCTAACCACTGCTTAACAAGACCCTGACTATTATTTCGTTCGAAAATTAATGCTTGCTTACTAACTTATATAGTTGGACGACACGATTTCATGAGTTGTGCGGACCTCAGCAGATCCTTGATTGGTTCTCGTTAAGTGATTGACCATGTTAGCAGTCTGCTTTGACTATAGTGACGTGTGGAGGGCTCATTCGGAAATCTACGAAACATTTGCATCTGCGAGTACAGCTGGATGATTTTAGTAACAAATCCTTCTGTCTATGATGAAGATGGGCGTTCCAGAGTACGCTTCCATCTTCGTGGAGTCCATTCAACAGTTGCCCCAACTATATTTCACCAATGGTTTGCAGTCTCTTCGACTGCGAAGATGGAATAGATTTCGAAGCTCTGAGCTTCGCTTTCCAACTAGATTTTTTGCGTGCCGGTTATATTTCAGAAAACATAGCGCAAGCGCTCTATGAGCAGTGTACAGAAATCTTGACGTATTTGAAGCATTCGCCCACCCCAACTGCATAACAGAAAGTCGAAATGACTATTGGATCGCTCGATCAATCGGTGGTACCTAATCCAAAGTTCTTGGTTTGCCCGGGAGGATAATATCCGTGAATAACTTATGGAGTACACTCAACAAGCATAGCGGACGATAGATGCAAAGATGCCTTCGTTCACCTTTTGGGCGGCATAAGAGTGCGCGACGTGCTTCAGTGGGCGGAGATTTGTTCTTTCTGCAAATAAGTAGTATGAGTTGCAAGAAGTACATATAGATCGCGGCATCCAGCTCTTATAAACACGACGGTAAAACGCATCGTAAAGCTGCGCTTTTCATCATATTTTCCATGGCATTTGGAACCTCCAGGAAGAATCCTGCTTAGTTTCTATACAATGAGAAGCTAAGATCCTGGAGGAGGCAGGGAAATGGGAAAGGTTGGTGAGGAACGTCTCCATTATTAAACCCGTAGGATTGGTTGTAGTGATTCCATCTTTGCTGATTAAGGTTGACAACGAAACATTACACTGGCACAGATCTTGAAGATATTTCTTCAGACTAGATCGTTTCTAAGGTGCATCGAATAATTCTTCTCGTCTGCACTAATCCAAATCCTACAACGATCATCTACAGCTGGCACTCATTATCAGTCTTTTAGGTCCACTGCCGCAGGATCAAACCTTTCTTTCCTACTTTCTCGAGCAGCTCCTTAGTGGTAATGAAGATGTGATCTAATCTCCTTGCTTAAGGGAATGACGTGAATTCGGCACAACTTCTAAGTCCTTCAGCAAGCAACTCTCAGTCCTCGGTCGGGTCTTTCTCTATTTGTAGGCCACATGAAGAGCCCATTTCATTGAGAATACTCTTGTCATACACTACTTGCGTTGTTCTTCTCGGACGACGACAAGAGTTCCTTTCCAGCTTACAGTTGAATCGAATCTTCGAATGAAGGACAAGCTCCTGCACAATATGATGGGACCACGTGTCTATGAAGCAAGCACTATCTTTTGTTTCTAATGATGTAGTCGATAGTTCCTTCTTCTGGAAGGATGAATTTCCACGGACGAGGGGTCCTGTGGGCAGAAGTCTTGCAAGACGGTTTGTCTTCCCATTTTTTCTCCTAATACAGATTTTCTGAACTTGTATTCGTTCACGTTGGCCATTCTTTCTCTAGCATTAAATTTCTGGCCGCAAATTTATAAAAGCGCTTATCAGTGCCGATAACTTCTTTCAGTTGGTAGTGGAACGCATGTAGATTGCACTCATCGGCAGCAACGATCGGGGGGTAATAATTGATCATAGTGATTTTCTTATGATGCGTCGGTTGAAAACGGAGGACGACCAAAGGAAGGGGAGGGATCTCGTACGAAACGCCAACACGGGTGATGGGCAGTTGGACGAAAAAGTTTGCGTCGCTAATAATTCATGACGGGACCATTTCTACGCGGACGAGAACGCTCTCGTAATTTAAAGAGCGCATGTCGATCTCCTTACTCTTCGTTTCTTTTCGCTCGATCATATGGAATATAATGTGATCCGTAGTTGCAAGAAGAGCGTGTAGATCGGTGTCGGAGGAGAGCGTTCTGGTATTAAAGATGTAGAGGAAGGAACAGACTACATGGTCTGCAGTGCTCATGTTCGTCAGATCCGATTTCAGTGATGTCCTACCAACAAACATGAGATTCCGTGGCCTCTCACTGGTTGTCTCACCACCCGATATCATAGAAAAAAGCATTCAGTCTGCAGAGTACTGAGACTGGCCGATGTCTCGTTGGGCAATTCGCTTTTTATAGTGTCCTGACTTAACAATGCTAGGTCGTCCTAGAGTCTTTACCACGATGTAGACCTGAAGGTGATTTTGTTTCTGAGACGATTCTTTCGATCAGTCGCCCTATCATTTGATTCTTACACTATATTTAAACCAAATTCAAATATCATAGTACGAATAAGAAACAAGTTTATCGTTCAATGATGATGCAAAGCCAGAAGTGTTTTTGTCGTTTCAGACAAGTGAGAGAAGTGTGGTACCCACTTGCCAACCTTGGATGAATCAAGAGCTTGGGAAAACTGAGCCGTAGGATCGAACCAAAGACCATATGTGTATTCAGAGTACCTCTTAACTCGGAAAATAACGCAAGATTTCTAGCTTGATTTCACATGTTTATGTTTAATCAACTATTTTATTTTCGAATGCTGTACCATCGCATAACAACGCGAAACCAACTTTTCGCACTCACGCTATGAACGATTAAATTAAAACATAAGTCGCATTTTTCGTAAAATTTATACGTAAGGAATTGAGAGGTCAAGACAACCATTTGAACAAATTTGCTCTTAAGAAACTAAACCAACTCAAACTCAAACTAGGATATAATGTAGCTCCTCGAAACATTAATGAGATACGGACCAAGGAATTATTAATAAACGTACAATGCAACCTTGTTTTGGAAATTTCATCATGACGAATTCTAGCTTGAAGATAAGGAAGATCGCAACCTCCTTCTGCTATTGAGGATGGAGAACTTAAAGATTTAGTGGAAGCAAATAAACGCAAAACTGTTGGAGAACATCCAGGAAAACTCGATTCAATCATCTCAACTGTTTTGGGATATTTACAGAGGACTGGAAAATCAAAGAAGACCGATAAATGGATAAAATCAAAGAAATCGCCGTTTAGAGCTTTCATTCGCTTCTTCTGCGTAACAGGAACAACCAGTTTCTCGACCGTATTGTGACGCGTGAAGAGATATGGATCTTCTAAGACAAGAGGCGACAAGTGGCTCAGTGGTTGGATCGCTACGAAGCTCCACTGCGATTCCCAGAGTCGAGGCGTCATCGAAAGAAAGTCATGCTCACCGTTTAGTGGTGTACAGATGATTTGATCCACAAAAACTTTCCGAGTTCGGCTGAAACTATTACGACCGAGATGTACGTCCAGCAACTCAACGAGATGCACCATAAGCTTCAGCGGCTGTAAACCACCTTAATGAAAAGGAAGGCACAAATCTCGCCGATAACACGAGGCCACACGCAGCACAACTAACGACACTGGAAAGAATGAAAGAGCTAAGCTACCTCATCCACCATTCTTTCCCGACCTATCGCACACCGACTACCACTTCTTCAAGCATTTGGAAAAATCCGTGTGCGGAAAATCTTTCTCGTAACGAGCTGATGTCAAAGCTGCCTTAAACACTAACGCCTCCAAAACTAGTTTTACGACCTTTTCCAAAATAGGACGGAATACTAATAAACAATAATTATTATTGGATTAATAGATCAGTTACATGAAAGACCTCCCAACGGTTCACTGCCTCATCCTACCTAGGTGTTCCTGGATGTCAGGCTGCGATGTATAGTGGGGTGATTCATCTCCCCGGCAGGCTCTCACCAGCTGAGGAGTCCGGCTTTTCGAGCAGGAAACCTAGCTAAGAGTAAACCAATACAGGAACGAACACCGTCCCGACATCAAACTAGTTGCACGGTGACAAATCTCCCTCTGATCCACAAGTGCGGCGACTGCCTGTGATGGTGACGGTCTGAAGCAGACTTTGGCCAAACTGACCTCTGAACTACTTCCCTTAATCGTGTATAAAAATGAGTCGTCATCAAAACTTCATTAAAACCTGGTACATAAATTTACATTTTTAATAATTATTAAGGGCGAAACACACACCCGTTAAGAGCAATTCCAAATAAAACATAATACAAAAAGAAAAATGGAAAATACAAAGGACAAATGGAAAACAGAAAGGGTTTCAGTCAACCGGAATATAATGAAATCAATCACAGGCTTAAATCTCCAATGCGAATAAGTAAAAACCCGATAGCTAAAAAGAAAAAAACGTACGAATTATATGCGACATGTGACGAACATTAAGAGATCGTTTTGGTTCTAATAAAGTCAACATGTCACTCTGAGAGAATACTAACTTTACGACTGAAAGCGAACTTCTATAGTAGTTGACCACCACCCTGTTCAAAAGCGTTCCACGCATCGTTCAATTCGGTAAAAATCGCTCGAGCCAACTTCTCGTGCGGAGTACCGACCTGCTTGTCCGGATGTACTAATAAACACGCCTTGTAGTAACACCGTTTTACCTAGAATTTTCATAATTTTCAGTTATTTTTAGTACTATACTAAGTATGAACGTCTTTATACTACTGATTCACTAAAAAGCGAAAGAAGTAAAAGAAAAAGGAATTTATGAGGTGAGAGAAAAGCAATAGTCATAGAAATGAAGTAAAAAAGGCAGGTGAAATCTGATGAAAAAACAACTAGTAAGTAAAAAACGAAAAAATAAAGCTATTTAAGTAAAAAATACGACTTTCAAATTCTGAATGTGACTTTTCTCACTTGTCTCAACAAAATACTCACCTGTGAAGCACTCAGTAAATCGCCCATTTTGGGTTGATTCCACAACTCTGCACCTTCCCAAAGAACATCGTTAAGAGACCCAAGAAGAGCACGAATGTTACGTTCTTTCCCACCTACCCAGTTGTTGATCTGAAAACAAAATCTAATTTCTCGTGGGAGAATAACCACGGCTCACCTTATGAAGAGGTATGACTCTCCATGACGGCGCTCGCTAGCTAGTAGAATTTAGCCCATGTTTCTCACCAGCTCAAAGCACTTCTAAGGTAACTTTGCGTAGGATCTTAGACTTGGAACTCTGAGTGGGAATGAACAACAGGAAGTGGGGAAATTACCATTACGACCATTTCCTCAAGCATTCTTAGACAACAAGACTCGAACAATAAACTCCATATGAAACTTCGGATACTTTTGGAAAAAGTATTCAGAAGGAACCTATTTTAAAAAAGTAAGAAAAACTAATAGAAACCGTAGAAAAATATAAATATTGGTGAAATCAAGGCTGGGAGAAAGGCAGAGCAGGCCTCGCTTTGTGTAGTGGTTAGCACGTGAGCCAGGTAAGGTAATCCCGAGTTCGAAACCCAGCTATGATTCCGAGTTCTGCTCTTATCTCAGCTTTCCTGTGGTTGTATTTCACATAAAACTTCGAGTGTTCAGAGGCCCTTTTCTAGGCGAATGGAAATTTGTGTACTAAATGTTGTCTGGTGATGTTATGAAAGTATTTTTTTTCAAAGGATTGCGTGCCAATATACCCATTCCAGGTTCTGAAAAAGACGAAACCACCGAGAAGTCAGCCATGGTGAATGCGTAAGTACAAAACAGCTAGCCACTTTTAATCGTTGAAAAAACCAACTTTAATTGCCACTGGATCCATGTCTTTTATTTCTTCCGCTTTTCGGAGATCACCCAATGTTCGGTTAACATTTCTTGATGAAGCAGTGAAACCCTAAAAGAAAGACCATTGCAAACCTTTAAAAGCAAGTGTAGCGCAGTAAACAGAGGTATCTTGCACTGCACATGGTGTTTGTTTTGACCTCGCTCCCCAGGTAAACTAGGCTGATAACTTCGGAATCGAAGAATTGGTGCAAGACTTGTTTGGCTAAATAAAAACACAAAATTTATAGATTGGTATGTCACGCCAAGCCAACGTTTAGTACAATTATGTTTTGAATCATCTGTACAATTTTTAATGGGGTTGGATGCATGGTGCCTCCATAAGTGATCGAGCAAGCCAGAACACTTCTATTATGGGAACTTGGGGTGTGCTATGTCAGTTTTATCCACTGCAGTAAGTAGAAATAGACGAAGAATGGGATAAAAACTCAACCTGACTAGACAAGAGATCACCAAAGGCATCACCAGGAACTTTTGTTTTCACTGAAGCGTTGGCATTCAGACTCTCAAAGGCAGCTCGGCTGTAATTAGGTCGAGCTGGTTTCGGTGTTGTTGAACCGCTATTTGAAGCGGACGCTAAAATTCTAGGATGCCATTAGATATTTTTCGACTAGGAAATAGTGCTAATACCTTGGGTACTGGTTGGATTACTTGCGCTCTGAGAGAGGAACTCAGCAAAAGGATCGAAAGTGAAGGTTGTATCCGGTTGGAAAGCTGGTGCAGAGATATTTCGATGCATGGAAGATCCATTTCCAGATGGCTGCACGTCTAAAAAAGATCAATGTTAACCATCAAGAAGTTGTCTGGAAGAACTCGAAATGTGGTAAGCACTTTTAATTTTAAATCGCAACCTAGATTTACTTTCAACCTTCTATTATTGCCGTTTACGTATCCGCTTCTAAGTCAATTCAAATACAACGGTATAACAAAAAGTGATATAAAAGAGGTACATACTGATCTCATCCCCTCTAGGACTTCCTACAGCACCACAGTCGAGAAATATTCTTCGGTGTCAAGATGCAATGTTGATCAGGGAGATTCACCCGTGAATGGTTCATAACTTGAGTAGTTCGACATTTCCGCCCCTCACGAATGAAAGGAAAAGCCAAAGTAAAGATTAATAAGCTGACCAACCCAGCTGCCGTTTAGCCAAAGACAGTAAAAATAACGGAATTTATGCCAAAAAGGTGAGGCACTCTGTGCCCTCAAGTGAGCGGAGTCCACCGAGCAGCTCGAACACACGATAAGGACACATGGACTTTACTGCTGATTGCTCGAGTTAGTGAATGGTCAGTGGAATTTCAAACGATATGGTTGAGTATTCCGATCGCAGCGACAATACAAACAGAGAAGCACACGAGGCTTCAATATTGGTTATCAAAATAAAGACCAAGTTAAATCACATCATGTGCTTTCTATAGAAACACGCAAAAAATGTAATCCTGTCAAAAAGAGATGTCAAAAAGTCGCTCTTTTGAAAATATCGGAACTCACTAGACGAAGCAGACCATTCATCGAGAAGATTATCAGTATGAACTGTTGGTATTGATGAACGAAGATCAGTATCTTTCAGAAAGTCAGAAAATGGATCATACGCGATTTTTGGAACCGATTCTTTAGGTTCGGGTACATGGGCTGAAATTTTTAGGATTACCTGAGAACAAATAAGTAAACAAATTATTGCAACTAACCTAAGTCATCAAGGTCCAGAAGGTTCAATTCGCTAACTGGGGCTTGGGGAGGTGTCAAAGCAGTGAGAATCGGTGTCTCTTTGTCGGAGTCGTAATGGTACTGATCAATATATGGATCGACAATTCGCTCAATACGAATACCGGTTTGACGCTCATATGCCTCAGATGTATCCACGTTCTTAATATTATGTTAACAAATTTCAACTACAAATTAGTACTTCCATGAAAATATCCATGCACGCGATTGTCAATTACAAAATTTTCTATTGACGGATCACTTCTTTAAAGCATAAAAGCTTGTGGCTTAGTTGTTGTCTAGTAATAGAGAACTTGGAGAAACCGTAGATTAATTTTAAATCCAAAGACATCTAAATCTCAAGAAAAGATAGGTGATCGCGTTATGCTCTATTACATCATAAATTCAGAGAAAAGCTCAAAAGCTTTTCAAAGCAGCTAATGCTCACTAATCTGACACGCAATATGCAGAACAGCTTTTTCACGACTATAAATTTGGTCTGATAAATAGTGATAGAAAACCAAAGAAGAGAAATAAAAGTCATACAGTGCCACTCAAGCATTTGACGCGAACACTTCATGACAAATTGGACTGAATTTGTAGATTTTCTCCTCAGATAGCTAAATTATGGAATCGGACGGATTAAACTGTACCAACAACGTATTCACTGACACCTCCTACATCTTAGGATAAGCTATGCAGTACAATAGCTTGATACTAAGTATAAATAAAGCAAACTTCTGGTTAATCTAATTTCCTCAGAAGTTAGAAAATTAAATCGAAAGCCAATTTAGACGAGATTCTCATGTGTAGCTGAGCTTGTGTGAACTTCTAAACGACATCGCTTGCACTGAACAGACCGTAAAAACAACGAAAGATTTTGGAAAACAATACACAAGGAAGAAAATCATACAGAAATCGGTAAACATAACGTACACTGCGAAGTTGTTGTAATCGACGACCATTCTCACAAGACGTGCCGACGTCGACTGTTGGTTGGACAGAATGGGCTAACGTTGTACCAAAATTTGGAGCAGAATTGGCGTTTTGGTGCGGCTTAGGACGTTCGTGAGAAGATGGTGCAGATTTCGATGAGGACAAATCTTCTTGTTGAGCTTTAGACCAATCCAGTGTTTCGAAAAAACCCGATTTTGCATCGGATGCATTACAACAGCCGCCAGAAGAAGTTCCAGAACGACAATTTTCTACAGAGACATTTGGGTCACTCGATACGTTATACCAATCCATAATTTGTTCTAAATAAGAAATTTTCCACTAAAAAACTTATTAAATAACGCCAAAGCAACCTACTCTGCTCCTCTGAGTCCATCACGAGCAGCTCTGGTGATCCAGGCAGTAACGAATCGGAGATTTTTGGTGCGCCATCACTATCACTGTCATGCTGAGCCAAAGCACGGAGACCTAGTGCGATCCTAAAATACGTGGTTTGATAATAAATGTTTAAAACAACAAAAAAAATGAATAAAGAAGAAAAAGATAAACCGTGACTTTTTTCTTGGTAACAAGGAATATACTGCATATTCCAAGGAACCAATATGAGAAAGGCTTGTTAGAGATGGCTGGAATAAATCTCATTAAATGTAAAAGATGCCCTAGTTACCTTTGAAGAAAATGAGGCTTTTGTCCAAGGGCCTGATAGCCATGATGGCGACCCGCTAACATGCATGCACTGTAAGAAGTAAAAAATGCCTAATCATTAACCAGTGAGCTCCCGACTGATTAAATGGTTCAATCTGTGGACGAAATATGTTTCGTAACGATAGAAAATCTAACGAAGATGATGATAAAGACAGAAATTTTATATGGTAGTTAAACAAGGCATAACATATGTGTTATGTCTACTAACCCTCGTACAACATCAGCTATAGCGATAAGATTAATCTCGGAAGTCAAGCAAAAGCAAAGTCTTTTCAGCAAATCACGGAAATATTCCTTTAACAAAGAAAGTACACAACAAAAAAGAAAAAAGGAAGAAAAAACTTTCCAAGTGAGAAATTTTGTTGCAATATCGAAACTACAAATGATAGTGAAAATGTATGAGAATTGCCTCTATACGATAAATAGACAGCAAGTCAACTAATGGATAACAATGGAGTTAAAATAGGGTTCAGATTTATGTGCGTTGAGCAACGTTTACGTGATAAGTGCGGATGTCAGGAATAAAGAGCGAACGATAAGGTTAAGGTCGCACCTGTTCAGGACCACCTAACCTGCTTTGTCGTTACCGCTTCATTCAGAGAAAATCAATGGATGAGTATCATGTTTCAACAAATAATAAAGTGGGAAACCGAAAAGAATAAAAGAAAAATAAGCTAAAAATGGAGACACGTAAACGATGTTCCGAATGAACTGTTCGTATCGAAAACAATAGCCCAGTGAATTGAGCAAAACACTGTTTTGGCATAAGAATTAAAATAAAATTTAGAAGAATAGTGAAGTAACACTATGACCGAATAAAAACTACCAAAAAACCAAGACAATCAAATTAAAATGCAGCAATACGGAAATGGTAATGTTCTCGAATACATCACAGGGTAAAAGGTGCGCGT